CTATTTCTGACCTGGTCCAGTTCACTTCTTCTTGGGGAACCTAGTGGTCCCTGCTTCCAGGAGGTCACTATGCCGATGCAGAATTTAGTGCAGACACTAGATCAGCATAGCACATTCTATCCCAGAACTCCAGGGCTCAAACCATTGTCTTGCCTCAGCCTCTCAAGTAGCTGGGACTATAGGCTGCCACTGCGACTGGCAATTTGCCTTCCGTGTTCTTCTTGACCAGATCTCATGCTGCCTCTTATAGAACTGCAGTAGTCATCCAGGAAATAATTTAAGTGTCCAGTAAAAGGGGGAAAGGTGAGGTGATTCATGGAACATCATCCATCCAGTGGATTATTTCTAAGTATGAAAAGTATTGTTTGCAAAGAGCTTATAAATGTGTGTGTGTGTTTTTCTTTAAGTAGACATGGGGTTTCACCATATGGGTCAAGATGGTCTCGATCTCTTGACCTGGTGATCCGCCCACCTGAGCCTCCCAAAGTGCTAGGTTTACAGGTGCGAGCCACTGTGACTGGCTATAAATGTGTTTTAAATGTGTGGGGAAATGCTTCTGCTACCCTGTTTAGTGAAAAAAGCAGGATACAAAATTGCACGGGCAGTAGGAGTTCAGCTATGCAAGGTAAACTTGAAATTAACAAAGAGAAAATGACTAGAAGATAATACACCTGGCGTTCACTGGGCTGACTGACTCCCCTTTGAACCTCAAGTGAGTATAAGATGACCTGACACGTCCCAGAAGGTTTGATTTTCACTTTCTGAAATCTCTTCTTTCCCTTACTCTTGAATGGCTGGCAACTGCATTCTTCGTTGAGAGAACAGAATTGGGCCAGGTTTCACACCTGTAATCTCAGCACTTTGGGAGGTAAATGTGGGTGGATCATTTGAGGTCAGGAGTTTGAGAACAGCCTGGCCAACATGGTGAAACCCCTCTCTATTAAAATACAAACATTAGCTGGGTTTTGTACTCAGAAGACTGAGGCAGGAGAATCGCTTGAACCTGGGAGGCGGAGGTTACAGTGAGCCGAGATGGTGCCACAGCTCTCCAGCCTGGGCAACAGAGTGAGACTCTGAAAAAAAAAAAAAAAAAAAAAAAAACAGCCTGTAATCCCAGCACTTTGGGAGGCCGAGGTGGGTGGATCACGAGGTCAGGAGATCGAGACCATCCTGGTCAACATGGTGAAACCCCGTCTCTACTAAAAATGCAAACAATTAGCTGGGCATGGTGGTGCGTGCCTGTAATCCCAGCTACTCGGGAGGCTGAGGCAGGAGAATTGCCTGAACCCAGGAGGCGGAGGTTGTGGTGAGCCGAGATACCGCCATTGCACTCCAGCCTGGGTAACAAGAGCGAAACTCCATCTCAGAAAAAAAAAAAACAAAAAAACCCAAAACAAAAAACACAGCCAGGCGAGGTGGCTCACGCCTGTAATCCCAGCACTTTGGGAGGCCAAGGCAAGCAGATCACAAGGTCAGGAGATTGAGACCATCCTGGATAACATGGTGAAACCCCGTCTCTACTAAAAAATACAAAAAATTAGCTGGGCATGGTGGCACGTGCCTGTAGTCCCAGCTACTCAGGAGGCTGAGGCAGGAAAATCACTTGAACCTGGGAGGTGGAGGTTGCAGTGAGCCAAGATTGTGTCACTGCACTCAGCCTGGGTGACAGAGCAAGATTCTTTCTCAAAAAAAAAAAAAAAAAAAAGCAAGGCCCGGACTAGGCTGAGCTCCTCGGCTGGGCGTGGTGGCTCACACCTGTAACTTTGAGAAGCTGAGGTGGGAGGATCAGTTGAGGCCAGGAATTTGAGACCATCCTGTCCGACATGGTGAAACCCCGTTTCTACTAAAAATACAAAAATTAGCTGGATGTGGCAGTGAATGCCTGTAATCCCAGCTACTGGGGAGGCTGAGGCAGGAGAATTGCTTGAACCTGGGACATAGAGGTTGCAGTGAGCCAAGGTCATGCCACTGCACTCCAGCCTGGTGACAGAGGGAGACTCAGTCTCAAAAAAAAAAAGGCTGCCTCCTCAGAGAGGCCTTCCTGAGTCCCCTACTTAAAGACTGATTCTTCTAATTCTCCCATAGCCAGTTACTTGTTTTTTTTCATGATTTGTATAATGAAAAAACAAAAACAAAATCCACTTCAGTTTAAAAGAATAAAAGCCACACCTCCTCTTGGAAGCTTTCCAGGAGTGAGTCTCCATTCGGTATTCATCATGTTGGTCAATTTAGCAGCTTGAATGGGAGAAATGAAATCGTTTTTCCACTTGGGTAATCAGCATCTTCACTTCTTATGTTATATAATTCTTACGATCTAATGCTTTGCTCTTTTTTGAGTAGAGTTTTCTACAGCACACACTGTGTGCCTGTGCTGGGCAGTTTGCAATAGAGTACCACAACAGGGCAGCCCTGGGTTCAAGTCAGTCCCAGCCCTGCCACTTCCAAGCTATGTGACCTTGGTCACGCATTCCAGCTACCCAGTGCTACATAACAAATGACCCCAAAATGTAGTGGCTGAACACAACAATATTTATTTTGCAGTTTGGGCAGGGTTGGCGAGACAGCTCATTTCTGCTCCACTTGTCCACTGGGGTGGCTCCAAGCCTGGGGGCTGAATCATCTGCAGGCTCACTCTCTCACGTGTCTGGTGGTTAGTAGGGACCAGAGCTGGAGTTGCTGGCTAGACCACCTTCATACGGTCTCTTAAGGCCTGGGCTTCCTCCCATTGTGGTGGGTGAGTGGCCAGAGAGAATGAGAGAAAGAGAGAGAAGCAAGCTGGGAGAAATGACCTGACCTTGGAAGTCACAGATGAACACCTCTGTCATACTCTGTTGATTGAGACAGTCATGAGATCTGCTGAGATTCAAGGTGGGGGCACGCAGGCCCTGCCGCTCAACTGGAGGAGCGTCAATGTCACCTTGTAAGAAGAGAAATTGGGATGAGATATACCCTTTGGAAAATATAATCAGCCACAGGAAGTATCTTCACTTTTTGGAGATCCTTTACTGAAATGTGGAGCACAGAGCCCAGCACACGGGGAGTGGCCACATGTCACACAGCTGCAGGGTGTGCTGGCAGCAGGGACAGTCACCCTGTCACCAATGTAGCCAGTTCTGGACTCTCAACAAGTCTCATCTCCTTTGTGGTATCCCTGGCCTGAACTGACCCTGAGTCCAGAGCCCCTACCTCAGCCCCACCCAGTTCCTCACCACCAGGGCCCTGCTGTTCTTAAGGCTCCTGTGGGGCTGCAATGTAGATTCTTGGCTCGCCAAATCCAAAAGCCCTCAGAGAAGGTCTCCCCAAATGCAAAGACCCTCAGAGCAGGTGGGACTCACAGGCCCCTCCCTGGCCAGCCATGAGTGTTGGGGCCCAGAGGGGCTAGGTGGTAGAGCCAGGACTCAGATCCTGGCCCTAGTAGAGAGATGCAGGCCACTCTAATCTCAGGACCGCTGGTGTGACCAAGGGTGTGTCAGGAGTGGCTGAGCCAGTGGTCTGCTGTGTCCCTGCATGGCTTCACACTACCCAACACCTCCAAGCCCATGTTCTGCAAATAGGGGGAGAAACTGAAGCACAGAGAAGGGAATACACTTTCCAAGAGCTTCACAGCATCTTTCTATGCAGCCTACTAGAGCCAGGGGCATCTGAGCTGGACGGACTCTGTCATCATCTGTTACATTTGACTAGAGCAGCTGGGGACTCTGAGGCCCAGAAGGAAGGCCTGCCCTGGGTCACTAGCCTGAGGCTCCCACATCCTTCTCCAGCATTCCTGCCCCCATGCCATGCCATGCCATGCCACCCTGTTTGTGCTGAGTCTTTTGTGGTCCATATCACCCACAACACTGTGTGCTCCATGAGGTCAGGCAATGACACACCCACCACTGCGTCCCTCAGTGTACCTGGCGCCTGTGCAAACAGGGTTTGTGGACAGTCAGTGGGGGTGAGGGGAGCTGGTGTCTTGCCAGGAGGGGGTGGGATGCCCCTGCAGAATTGTTTGCCAAGAGCCTGCTGAGTGCCTGCTCCTCACCTGGCTGCATGGGGGAACCTAGTGTGCGGGTGGAAGAGCACGCGCACACCTGGATTCAGATGAAGTCAAGCCTCTGGAGAGAGGGGATGCCCCAAGAGTGTATTCACTGCGTGTGGGGGAGGTGGGACAGAGACAAAGCAGTGGACCTGGTGCCTTCGGTGTCACAGGCAGGTGCAGAGGTGAAGGAAGGGAACTAGGGAGGAGGAAGAAGAGGGGAAAGAGGAGGGAAGGGAAGACTTGGAAAAGGAGGTGGGAAAGGAAGGGGAAGGTGGGAGAAGAAGGAAAAAAGAGCAGGGGATAAATGGGTGGGGGAGGAAGAGGTTCCAGAGGGCAAAAAGAGCCCTGTCCTCCCGGTGGCAAGGGGTGGGGGGCACCCTGAGAACGAGGGTCCATCCGTGGGGCAAAGGACAGTCCAGCTCTGCCCTGCGGTGGCTCAGGGATGGGGTATAGCGGCGAGGCGGCATGGGGGCTGGGGAAGCTGTGAGAGACACGGGAAAATCAACAAGGCCAGGAGCCAAGGAGACGCCTGTGAGGAAAGAACACATGTCCCTAGAGCTCGGTCCCCCTGCGCTGCTCCTGGTGGGGACCTGTGGGGTCAGGGCCACCGTCCCAGCCCATGCTAGCCCCCGGGGCCAAAACTGCCTTCCAAAGCATCCCTAGGCTGACACTTCGGAATGGGTTGCCTCCATTTTAGCCGTACAGAGCCTGAAACCGGGGTCGGGGGCGCATGGGCAGGGATCCTGCCGGCCAAGGTGCGCGAGCCAGGCTTGCACGCGGAGTTCCACGATCCCTACGCCAGGGGAGGGAAGCCGAGGCAGGAGGAGCCCGAGCACGCCCGGGAGGTGTGAGCTTTAGTCCCGTCGGCGCTGCCTTGACCGTGAGCTCGGCGCGTGCACCCAGGCTTCAGGGTACGCATCTGTGCGATGGGATCACCGCTCCCGCGGGCCGGCCGAGTGGGCGGAGTTCGCGCAGGCTCGGCACCGGGCGAGGGGCGAGGCGCTCGGCGTGCATGGATGCAGGCTCCTGCGAACTGAGGTCCGCCAGGCCTCGGCCCGGGAGTGCCCGCTCCCGCCGCTCTCGCGGGCCCTGCCAGGACGCCGGGCGCAGGGGGGCCTCCGCCGGGTGCGTTCCTGGGGCGGGCAGGGGAGGAGGCGGCGGAGCGGAGGAGGAGGGAGGCCGGGCCGCGGCTGCCCGCGCCCGCCTGACCCTCGAGGGGGTCGCTGTTGCCTCGCAGATCCCTCCCTCGCTCCCTGCCTGCCTCCCTCCCCGCCGCTCCCGCCGCGTCCGCCTTTTGTTCGCGGAACCGCGCGCCCCCGAGCCGAGGCGGCGGGGCGGGGAGCTGGCGGGGCTGCGCGGGGGGCGGGCCGCGCCGGGCGGAGCCGGGGCCCGGGCCGCAGCCGGACTCGCAGCCCGAGGGAGCGATCGGCGTGCGGGCGGCGGGGTCCCGGGCGCGCTCCGGGGACGCGGCGAGGCCGAGGGGGCGGGCGCCGGGCGGAGCCGTAGTCGGAGCCGGGGCGCCTGGAGGCGGTCGGGGCGCACTGTTCGAGCCCAGAGCTGTGGAGAGACCGCGCGGCGGGCCGTGGGGCGGGGACGCAGTGTCGAGGCTGAGGTGGGCCGAGGGCAGCCGCTGCCCGAGCGGCGGGAGCCGCAGCCGCGCCGGCTCCCTCCCCAGGGACGTCGAGGCCGGGCGGGCCTGGGCCATGCGCACGGCTCGCTGAGGCCGACGGAGGCCGCGATGGAGGCGCCGGCGGCCGAGCCCCAGCTCCGGGGCTCTGGCCCCCAGCCCGCGTCCGCGCCTGCCCCGGAGAGGAGAAAGAGCCACCGCGCGCCGTCGCCGGCCCGGCCCAAAGACGTGGCCGGCTGGTCGCTGGCTAAGGGCCGCCGCGGCCCAGGCCCCGGCGCAGCCGCCGCCTGCAGTGCCGCGTCCTCCGCACGGCCCGACAAGAAGGGGCGCGCGGTGGCGCCCGGGGCTCGGGGCGCGGGGGTGCGGGTGGCCGGGGTTCGCACGGGGGTCCGTGCCAAGGGTCGCCCGCGCCCGGGTGCGGGGCCGCGCCCGCCGCCGCCGCCCCCCAGCCTCACGGACAGCAGCTCGGAGGTGTCGGACTGCGCGTCGGAAGAGGCGCGCTTGCTGGGCCTGGAGCTGGCGCTGAGCAGCGACGCGGAGTCGGTGGCCGGGGGCCCGGCAGGGGTCCGCACGGGGCAGTCGGGCCAGCCCGCACAGTCCGCGCAGCAGCCCCCGCGCCCGCCCGCCTCCCCGGACGAGCCGTCGGTGGCCGCGTCGTCAGTGGGCAGCAGCCGCCTGCCGCTCAGCGCCTCGCTCGCCTTCTCCGACCTCACCGAGGAGATGCTGGACTGCGGGCCCGGCGGCTTCGTGCGGGAGCTGGAGGAACTGCGCTCGGAGAACGACTATCTGAAGGTGGGGGCGCCCGGGGAGAAAGGGAGGCCGAGGGGGGCACCGGCTGTCACAGCCTGGCGGGCGTGGGGCACCAACCATCCCTCCTTCCTACCGAACTGCCTGGCGAAAGGGTCCCGAGTCCTGTGGGGACCACCCTGGGGTGGATATGAGGCTCCCGCATCCCCCACCCCCTACAACTTTATTTGGGAAGCAGGCTCCTGAAAAAGACCTTGAAACTGGCCACAGGGCCCTGACCTAGGAGCGAGGACTTGAGAAAACGGCTAGGGAGGGTTCTGGGAGGCATTGCTGGGGTGGGGGTGAGTAGCCAGGGAAGGGATGGATCTCTGCCTTCAGCTGCCCAGAACCTCCACGCCCAGGCTCTTCTTCCTGGGACAGGCATTTGTGGGCACCCCCGCCAGGGAAACCTATGGCTGTCCCCTGCCAAGGAGAGGCCTGCATGCCATCCTGAGTCGTTATCCAGGGCTTTCCCGGGCGTAGGCCTGTCCCCGCCTGCCTTTCAGGGCGGGTCCAATTTGAAAGCATGACATCTGGGAACATCCCCTTGGCTGGAGTCCACTTCCGCCCAGCCTAACGGTCCCACAGCCTGGAGGATGATGTGGGAAAACCGGTTTAGTGGCAGCTTCTTAAATCCCAGGAACAGTGTCTTTTGCTTTCCCTGGGGCAGACCTTGTGCCCCAGCAGCCCCATCGGCCCCTCATGACCAGTGCCTTTCCATGTTCCCAGTGGGAGGAGGGAAGCTGCCCACCTGGAAGGAACCTTCCCTGTGGCCATGTGGGGACCCCGGGGCTTCCCCAGGACAGCAAGTTTTGCCTTTGCTTTTTCAGTGGACGTGAGCACCTACTGGGCTCCATCTGCATGCTTCTCTGTGCCATGGCAGGTTTCGGAACAAAGCAGCTCACACGTGTTGACCTCTGCCTGGGAGGCTAGAAGTTTCCTGAGCTCTCCTGCTGCTGGCGGGCAGGTTTTGGAGGAGGCTGAAATGTTGCCCACTCTTGTCAGTGGATGGCCTGGCACAATACCTGGAGTGCTCCTGGCTGAGAGCCTAGGAGCTCACAGCACGCTGCTGATTTATGACTGCTCTGCAGCACTTTGGCTTGTATCTTTTCCTTGTGGCTCTTTTGGCCAAATGGGTTTCTCCCTCTTTAGAGTGTCGGTGTCTTGCTCAGCTGTGTCTCTGTCTCCCCAGATTCCCCGGAATCTGCTCTCTAGCATGAGTTCTGGAGATGCTTGTAGTATGGAAGGACTAGGTCTGTCTGAATCAAGAGACTCTACCCATCAGCCTCACGTTTCCCCAAGCCAGGCCTCAATCTCCTCATCTGTTAAATGGGAGGATGTCTTCCCAAGGGCCCCGTTCAGTGTTGGCAACTGGGTGTTCAGTTGGCTCTCAGAGTTGTCAGAAGCCAGTGATAAGGAGAGGGCAAGTGGAAGGTGGGCAGGAGGAGGAGGGAGGCGATGAGCCAGGACAAGGATCTTTTGCTCCTGCCCTCTTGTGCTCTGAGCTGCTTCCAGTGAGTGCTGCCTGAGTTGCCCTAAACTGAAACTCAGCTCCTCACCCCTGCCTCGTGGCCCCTGCTACCCACCCTGGTGTGGGAAGATGGGACGCAGAGCTTTACTTCTGGGCTCCTAGGCAGCCATCCCATGGACTTCTGTCCATCCCAGGAAGTCATCAGGCTCTGAGCCAAAGTCTGTTTGAGGCACCCATGACTTTGTTTAAAGGCGCAAACAGTCCCAGGAGGCTGGGTGTTGAACTCAGGGTCTCACAGGGTAGAAGTCTCACAGCTGAGGACATCCCACGGTCTGGGCCAGCATGGAGCCTTAATTTCCACCATTTATTCAGCGGCTCAGGCTTTGTGCTGCTGTTGGATCTGGGGTCTGTCGCTTCCTGACTGTGATCTTTGGCAAGTTATTTAACAGCCCTGGACCTTTGCTTTCTCATTTGTAAAAATGGGACAGTTACACGCTTTCCAGCCTCAAGGGTTAAATGATCTTTGATGCCTACAAATGCCATTAGAACACCTGGCAGGTAGTAAACCTCAGGTGTCATAGCTCTGATCACTGCTCTTCTCAGTAGCATGGGACACGTTGCCATGTGCTCCCAGCCTATTCTCTTGTGGATTCTGTGAAGGCGGAATAGATCCTCTTCATCACCCAAGGCAGGCTGGGCTCTTTCTCCCAGCCCATCACTGGTTTATTCACCAGCTGTTTATTTAGAACCTGCCGTGTGCTAGGGCAGATCTGGGATACAAGGGACTACAGCAGTGGACAAGGGAGGGTGAGATGTCTGTTTTCATAGAGCTTTGAGGGAGACCAGAATTAAACAATAGTCATACAAGAGATCACAACACTGATCATAATGAGGGTGAAGGGGACAGTCTGCCAGGAGCACAGGAAGGTGGGGGCTGGGTGCGGCAGGGAGGCCAAGAGCCACAGGATGCCATGGAGCCAGCTGAGCGAGGGGCTAAGAACATTTCAGGCTAAGGGAAATTGGAAAGAGCTCGGTGAGTTCAAGAACAGCACCGAGGCCAGGAGGGAAGGAGTGTGGGTAAGAGAGGAGAGCAAGGCCAGCCCATGCCACTTCTCATTGTGTACATTTGGGTTAGCCCTTGAACTTCTCTGGATATCTCTTTATCACAGCCGCCAACCTCACAGAGGCAGGGTCAAAATCCAGAGACTGAATGTGAACCATAAGTAGAGGGGTCATTACAGGAGGTGTTGTTTAGTCTATTGCATAGATGGGAAAACTATGGCCAGAGTTGGGAAGAGACTTGCTCCAGGTCCCAGAGCCGGGTCTCTAGGCTTCCAGGGCTTTGGAATGAGCATGTGTTAGACTCTTGATATGTTTCTGCCTTTCTGGACCACTTTGCCTGTAAGATGCAGAAACTGAGTAGTAACAAGGGAAAGGATTCCAAATCCCTAGTATGTCTCCTGCAGGAACACAGTTGAAGGAGGTCCCACCACATCTGGTGGGTGGCCCTGCTCAAGCTTACCTCCATCTGGTAAAGAACACTTCGAACTGTCAACTGGGAAGGACTCTCAGGTGATCTCCAGTCTGGTGTGGCCTGCTCTGGGCCCCAAGTGAGGAAAGCATAAATCGGGCAACTCTCTCCGGGTGAGAAGATAGAAGGAGACTGGGCGCAGTGGCTCACGCCTGTAATCCCAGCACTTTGGGAGGCCAAGGTGGGTGGATCACGACGTCAGGAGTTTGAGACCAGCCAGACCAACATGATGAAACCCCATCTTTACTAAAAATAGAAAAATTAGCCAGGCATGGTGGTACGCACCACCAAGTAGTCCCAGCTACTTAGGAGGCAAAGGCAGGAGAATCGCTCACACTCGGGAGGCGGAGGCTGCAGAGAGCCAAGATCGTACCACTACACTCCATCCTAGGCAACAGAGCGAGACTCCATCTCAAAAAATAAAAAAAAGAAGGAGCTTCTACAGAGAAGGTAGTGAGCTCACTGTCACTTTAATTATTCAGAGAGAGGCTAGATGACCTTTCGTGCTTGGATAAAGATAGAAGGTTTGTGGAATGATGGAGGGGGGTTCACAGGCGATTGATGTGATGGCTGCAGTTGAGCTGCCTGACCTTGGGTCCCTTCTAGCCAAGGAAGTCTGAAGGTTATTAACTACGGAGGTTCTGGGAGTCTAAGATCCACCTTTAGCTGCAGAGCAGACACGTCACCTGTGACGTTCAAAGACCTGGTGATCTGAGGTCTTCCAGCCTTTCATCACCACTAACTGTTAAGCACATACCATGTGGCCAGGACACGTAGGAACCCACTGGGTGTGGATGGAGGAATCTGAGAGCTGGAGCCTGAAGACCTGACTTTGAGACCTGACTCTCTTGTTTACTGTGTGGCCATGGGCAAGTTACCTGGCTTCTCTGAGCTGCTTTTTTCCTCATCTGTATAATAAAGGTGATGGGGCCAGGTGGGGTGGCTCACGCCTGTAATCCCAACACTTTGGGAAGCCGAGGTGGGTGGATCATCTGAGATCAGGAGTTTGAGACCAGCCTGGCCAACATGGTGAAACCTCATCTCTACTAAAAATACAAAAATTAGCCAGGCATGGTGGCAGGTGCCTGTAGTCCTAGCTACTTGGGAGGCTGAGGCAGGAGAATCTCTTGAACCTGGGAGGCAGGGGTTGCAGTGAGCAGAGATCGCACCACTGCACTCCAGCCTGGGCAACAGAGTGAAACTCTGTCTCAAAGTAAATAAATAAATAAAGATGATGGAACCTGCCTGGACAGTCTCATACAGTTGTCACCAGGAATCAGGGAAGTATGAATAGACAAGAAAACATTTTGCAAGCAGTGAAATCCTGAGTTGCCTGAGGAATTGCTATTATTCCTAGCCAGTGGGCAGACAGGATGTCTGTATCTTTTTTTTGGAGACAGAGTCTCACTGTCACCCAGGCTAGAGTGCAATGGCGGTCTCCGCTCGTGGCAAGCTCTGCCTCCCGGGTTCAAGTGATTCTCCTGCCTCAGCCTCCTGAGAAGCTGGGATTACAGGCATGTGCCACCACACCCGGCTAATTTTTGTATTTTTAGTAGAGACGGGGTTTCACTATGTTGACTAGGCTGATCTTGAAGTCCTGACCTCATGATCCACCCACCTTGGCCTCCCAAAGTGCTGGGATTATAGGCGTGAGCCACAGCACCCAGCTCGGATGTCTGTGTCTTCAATGTGGAGAAACTGGGAGAATGCAGGAGGGTGGGTTTCCTTCGTTTTAGAATGTTAATAGGTCAGTAGCTGTCTAGGGAGGACAGGAAGGTGTGATCACCTTCCTTGCCATTTGTGGGTTCTGGGAGGCCAGGCCTTCCTACCTCCTTGGTGATTCTAGATGTGAGTGTCTGAAGTGCAGCCAGTCTAGGTGTCAGCTCAGAAGGATCTGGAGGAAGCACCTAATCCATCCCCGCTTGCCATTTTATAGATCAGTAAACGGAGGCTCTAAATTACATAGGCAGGATTCCAACCCAGGTTGGTCTAACTCTGGGTCCT